AGAGAGGGGGGGTTTATTTGAGAGGGGGGGGAGGGGGGCTAAATAGAGGATTTACGGTATTTTAAACTGTTGACCATCACCTTTTATCCAAAAGCCACCTCCGGCATGGGTTGATCAAAGTTTAGGTACAGCTAACACTCCATTTATACCCTTTAGGACCTTTAGAAATGGGCATGTCCCTTTATTCAGTCAGTTCCCCAAACCCAGCCCACAGTTTGTTTCAGATTTAATCAATAATTATAATTATCACATCCACTAGGCAAGTACTAGCATTTTTTACGCCAATTGTGGTTTACATACAATGTAAAAAAAAAAAAAAAAAATTTCAAAAAAAAAAAAAAAAAAAAAAAAAAGAAACGTCTAGTCGTCAAAGGCGATAGGTCATTCCGACATGAATGGTTTCTTTGCATTTACAATACAGAGAAAAATGAATCAGTCTCAACACTAAGGTCCATGTTCTTGACGAGAATAAGAAGCAGAAACACAAGTCATTCCAGCTATTCTTGGATCTTGAAATCACCTATTGCTTTATCGCCTGTGCCTGCGCTTTTTGAGATAGGTATATACTTACTAGTCAATAACAAGCAGTGCAACCTTGTGAATTCCTCTCTGACCTCTGATGAATACACTGATGAAGTTTCAATTCCCCTAAAAGTGGTCAATATCAGGTTACGAAAACCTAATAAAGTAACAGAAGTTTTTATTTCATTTGATATCGATCTTTTATGGTATCGTATATTTATTGCACGACCTGTTTTGGTGTTTTGTTTTGATTGGATCATTCATCATGATAAGAGTTTATTTCATGGTATTGATTGATTGCTGGTCAGGAGTCTGCTCTGGAGGGTATTTTAGGGTTTATTGTTCTTTTTATTATTTTATTATTTTTTTGTACTCCATATTAATCTAAATAATCTTCATACGAAAAAAATATTTCCTTCGTGTATTCAACACGAAAAAAAGGTAAAGAACGATGCTATTAAGTATTCTACTAGTAGTGAAGCATTTTTTTTTTTAAGATTTATTTGTTTGTGATTTTCTTTTCCTATATACCTATTTCCTTGTAACTTCATTTTATTTTAGTTGTCTGACAATTACGATGTATATGTGGTAGAAAACATGTGATACATAGCGAGATAAGATTTCGAAGTATATTGATAAGACAGATGGCACCGTAAGTCACCCTAAATCTGCCATATCAGCTGGTACCGACTGAACACTAATGGGGATAGCAAACAGTCCTTCAGTAATCGAAGCACGACGGGCAAAAGTATGACCACATTGATTTCCATTRTCTTTGAAGTGCGACCCGCAAAGTTTGATGTCTCTATCGCCGAATAGCATTTCAACGTCCGTCAATCAAAGAACTGCAATATATATCGAGGGAGATTTTGGACTGAATTAAAGAGTTTAAAGGGTTAGAGGGTTGAAAATTTTAAATACAGAGTAGAACTTAAATATTTCGAATAACTTTAAGTCGGTGCTTTTATAGCTTTTATTTGACTTTTTTTTCTATT